GTGTGTGTGTGTGTGTGTGTGTGATGTTGGGGGGGTGGCAGGCAGAGAGGGAAGGAAGGAGGGAGGAGGAGAGGGGAAAAGAGAGGAAGAGGGAGAGAGAGCTAGGCTTGAATCATTGCTCATACTAAGCATGGGCCCTGCTGTGTCCCTCCTCCCTTTTTAACGCCGAACAACACTCCCTGAGAAGTGCTGTCTTTATCCTTCATCCATGATGAACAGATGGATTTCTTCTGTATGCTCCTTGGCTATGTGAGCAGAGCTGCTGTGAACATGGGAATACAAACGTCTTTTTAAGATGCCAGTTTCATTGTTTGGACCGAAGAACCATGTAGTCATCTATTTTTAACTTTTGAGGAAATATGATACTTTTTTTTTTTCTTCACAGAGAATCCACTATTTCACATTTCCAATTGGAAAATGTCTTCGGGGAAACTCTAAGGCAGAAGCAAGCCAAATGGGTGGTACCCCACGGTACAAGCAGTCTCAGTGGACTGCACATTGGAGCCGGAGGCCAGGGCAGGCTCGGGCACCCAACAGCAGGAGGGAAGAAGCTTGGGAACAGTGGCTTTCTTCGAAAGAGGCTCCTGCCTGAGGAAGAGGCCAATAGACCTAACGTGGACTAGGAAATGGGTAAGATCTAGGCGAGACGGTATGGGGCAGACTTGCAGGACATGGGCTTTGGGAGAGAAGTCCCAGGAATGCTGAATGAAGGCGCGCTCAGGCTCTTTTTTTTGGGCTGGGCCACTCTTCTCTATATAATCCAGCCATTTTGGTTGCCACTTCCTTGGTACTTTTGGGGCTCCAGGCTGCTGTACCTGGAACCATTCTCTCTTCTCTCCCTCCCCCCTGCTCTCCACACATGGCACAGCTTAGTCTGGTCATGTCCACTCTAGACTCTCCCAGATGTCCCAGCTCTGGCTATGCTCACCCTATCTACAATAAACCTTCTTCCTTTTTCTCCATTCCTAGAAACAGTCATGTCCTTTTCTTTTCCCCTTCCTTCCTTCCTTTTTTTTTTTTTTTATTCATCCATGACTTGTACATCACTGAAGGGGCATCTCTGACATCAGAACATCTTCTGGTTCTTCAGAATTGTCTGGAATCAGCCCATACCAGAACCACCACAGCTCATTCCTCCTCCATCACTGGTGGCCTCCAAAGAGGCACATCTGTCACCAGCTCCTGAGCCTGATTTAAACTCTGAAAATTACAACAGATTCCTGGAAGATGATTCCTCAGAATGCAGAACCGGGCTTCAGGGACTGAGGCTCCAAACACTGGTGCCCCCAGACCTGAACTCCACCCCAGCTAGCATGTACTCAAGCAACACATCTCTCTGGCAACTGATCCCAAAGTGTTGGGATTCTCAGAACCAACAAGAAAAGTCACCCATAAGCCTTTTTACAAAGGGCCACTAGAGACCTCAGGATGAAAAGTCAGGGGGATGACTACTAATTAACACAGGCTTCACTGAGGAGTTGTGGCCACTGGCAACAATGCCGTGACTTTGTAAAGATGCTGAACCCATCAGAGTAAACACGTCAAAAGAAGGCAAATTGTTGAATGAGAATCCTCTCTCCCTCTCTCCCTCTCTAAAGAAACATCGCTAAATAATTGCAAGAAATAGAATAAATCCAGCAGGGCCTCTGCAGGATTTTGTTCCAGACAGGCTGGAACCTCTGTGACCCTTGCAGAAAATATTTTCTTCTCTCCCTTCCTGATCTTTGGTCTTCCCCTCCCCACCCCCACACCTTTCTAACTTCTGCTTGTTTGGTGTGCAGTGCTTAGGATAGGTTAGAGGTCTACCGCTGAGCCCCAGCCCCAGCTCCAGTCCTCATTCCTTTCTTTTGGGTGGGTGGTTGTTTGTTTTTTCATGGGGGCTCACTGGGTAGTGCAGCTCTGCCTGGCCTGGAACTTGCTATAAAGCGCTGGCTGGTCCTGGAACTCACAGAGATCCACCTGCCTCTATCTCTCAAGTGCTGAGGCTAAAGGCATGAGCAACCACACCTGACCATTCTTCCTAACTTCTAAAAGTTGAATGCACCTGTAGCTCCCTCCTTCTTCCCCTCCCAATGCCGCCCTCCCTCCCTCTTCTCCACCCATGCCCCTCCCCCAGTCCATTGATAGGGGAGGTCCTCCTCCGCCTCCATATGATCCTAGTCTATCAGGTCTCATCAGGACTGGCTGCATTATCTTCCTCTGTGGCCTGGTAAGGCTGCTCCCCCATCAGGGGGAGGTGATCAAAGAGCCAGCCACTGAGTTCATGTCAGAGACAGTCCCTGTTCCCATTACTTGGGAACCCTCTTGGACACTGAGCTGCCATGGGCTACATCTGTGCAGGGTTTCTAGGTTATCTCCATGCATAGTCCTTGTTTGGAGTATCAGTCTCAGAAAACACCCCTGTGTCCAGATTTTTTGGTTCTGTTGCTCTCCTTGCGGATCTCCTGTCCCCTCCAGGTCTTTCTATCTCCCCCTTCTTTCATAAGATTCCCTGCACTGTGCCCAAAGTTTGGCTATGAGTCTCAGCATCTGCTTTGATACCCTGCAGGGTAGAGTCTTTCAGAAGCCCTTTGTGGTAGACTCCTGAAAGTGAATAAACTGTAATTAATAAAAATAAAAATAAAAAATACAGCATATAATTGATCCATGAAAAACAGGAGGAGAAGCAATTATTCAGTGAAGTATGACATTCTTTTTTTATGGCAATGGGGCATTTCAATATACATTCTTAGTAATTGAAAACAAAACACTTGTTAGCAACTAATTGTTGAAAAGGAAGTCTATAAAATATTTCCAAGAAAAAAAAAAAAAAACAAGTTGAATGCATCCCTCAGGACAATAGTGATACCATTTTTAAAGAGCAATTTCAGTACCATGCCTCCTAGACTAGCTCCCAGGTCCTCCCTCACTGCTAAGGGCCGTCCTCGACCATTGCCTGCCTGTTACCTCCCACTGGCACTGCCTGGACAGAGAGGAAAAACATGAGGAATGTATCTGAATGAACTAGATAATAGATCACCACCTGCTGAGAGGTGGCCCATGGTTTTGATCCCAGCACTGGGGAGGCAGAGGCAGGCGGATCTCTGTGAGTTCAAGGCCAGCCTGGTCTACAGAGTGAGTTCCAGGACAGCTAGGGCTACACAGAGAAACCCTGTCTCAAAAAAATCAAAACAAAACAAAAATAGATTACCATCTCACATGGTTTTTAAAATTAGGCATAGTGGCACACACCCTTAATCCCAGCACTGAGGAGACAGAGGCAAGCAGATCTCTGGGTTTGAGGACGATGTGATGTACAGAGTGAGTTCCAGGGCAGTCAGGGCTACACAGATCCCCATCAAAAAAACAAATAAGCAAACAAAAACAGAAAGAAAGAAAAAAATAGCATTTCTCCCTTATAATTTAATAGGACAACATCAGTTTTAAAACCGCAAAGCTGGTAACTTGTTGCAAAGGCATTAGGACACTGGATACAATGTGTTCTCTGAGAGAATACATTTGTTCTTTCTGAGAACAAGCTGAATGTAAGAATGTGTCCTTCCAAGAATTTCATCTTGCACAGGTCAAGTAGAGCGGCAGAGGTCAGAAGCTGACGTTCCCAGCCACGGAGAGATTAAACAGGCTCAACTTTTCTTTCTTCCCGGAAAACCTTGAAACACCACAAAGCTTTTAAGCATGCCAGGTATCTCAGAACCAGGAAGGGTTTCTGCCCTTTTTGTGACTCTTCAGGGATCTGAGAAAGCTGGAGAGCTGTATTATCAGGATATGATACCTAGAAACAGAGCCCGCCCAGAGTCACTGAACATCAGGAGGGCTCCTGGTTTCAAGCAAGGTACTCCCGGGAACCTCATCAACAAAGTACTGCAGTGCCCAATGTCACAGTCCTCATTCAGCTGGGTCCTGTAGTGGCAAGCCCCCCACGACAGTGCTTCCACCTCCTGTGAGGCACAGAAACCCGGGGGGTTAGTGGGTGTTGTGCTTCGTTAGAGGAACGTGTAGCGGGCTCACTGTATCCAGAGAGGCGAGCCTCATTGTTCATTGCTTTCTTTTTTTTAAGGTTTAAACATGGGCCTGCAAGGTAGCTCAACAGGTAGAGTGCCTGCCTCCCAGCCCAATGACCTGAGTTCAATCCCTAGGACCTACAGAGAAAGGAAAAGAAGTCCTGAAAGCTGTTCTCTGACAAACATACCCCCCACATGCCCCCCACAGTGTGATACCCAGGCCCATTCTCTCTCTCCATAAACAAACACACATAAAAAATTTTAGATGTTTAAACACATGAAACTAGAAAAACAGTACAATAAATTATCAGCTGTTCACCCTCCAATATCGCAAATTATTCAGTCAGTGTTTGCATTTTGTCATTTAAAATATCCCACAGAAATCATAACACAAAATATGTCCTAATAATGCCCCAGACAATTCAGCATGCATCTCCCCAAAATAACGACATTCTATGGACCACAACATCATTATCCTACCTAACAATATCTCTTTGTTGGAGTTTCTATACTGTCATAAAAGAATATGGCCATAAGCTACAAGGGAAGGGAAAGGTTTATTTTTAGCTTCCAACTCTCAGGTCACACTCCACCCCTGAGATAAGTGAGGGCAGGAACCTGGAGGCAGGAACGGAAGCAGAAGCCATAGAGGAATGCTGTTGTTTGCTGGCTTGCTCTTCATGACCTGCTCAGCCTGCTTTCTTATAACACCTGCCCAAAAGTGGCCCCACCCAGTGTGCTGGGACTCAATCATTAAGAAAATGCCTATAAGCTAATCTCATGGAGGCATTTTTCCAAGTGAGTTCCCTCTTCCCAAACGACTCTACCTTGTGTCAAGCTGACAAAAAGCTAGCCAACACATAATATTAGCGTCGATTCTCTAATACTAATACTGCTCAGTTCACGTCCAAGTTCAAAGCTCTCCACCACGATTCCACCCTCTGCCCATCTTCTGCTGTGCCACCACCACGTGGCCATCACTGCAGTCCCACGTGGTACCTGCACAGAAGGTGCCGTCATTGGGGATGAAGGTCCTGTTGTTGTTTGTGGCCCGGTAGCCTTCATGGCAAATGCAGTAGAACCCTCCCGGCGTGTTGTGGCAGGATGTGTGGTCCCCACAGATCACAGCGGCTCCAAATTGGCACTCATCTTTATCTGCAGACGAAAACACGGAAACAACTCACACAAAAGCCTCCCATCCACCCATATGTCGTTACCCAGAGTTCTCCCTCACTGTAGACTAGGGATCCTTGCTCTGCAACAGCAGCTTACTGATCTAACATTACTCCAGCCTCTTTTCCTTCCACCATGCTGTCCAGACTAGAAGGAACAGGAAAGATTTCGTAATTATACCTGGCATATATGAAACCATGATTAAAAACAAAAAAAAAAACAAAAAACAACCAACTTACCACTCTGGGAATCCATCTTACTTAAAGATTGACAGCAGGTTATTTTTTAATTTTTTTTACATTTAAGAAAAATCATACAGGATTGGAGCTGTAAGTCTGTAGGGAACCCGTGTTTCTAGTATCCATAAGGCTCTGGATTCAATCCCATGAGAGTAATAGTACTTTTAAAATAAAAAGTCCTGGTGGGTCAGGTAGGTGGCTCGGAGGATAAAAGTGCTTGCCAGAGGTTTGACAACCTCAGTTCTATCCCTAGGATCTAAATGGGGAAAGAGAGAGCCAACTCCCAAAAGCTTCCTCTGACCTCACATGCGATACGCTGACACACGTGTGCGCACACACAGATAAAATACAATGAAAATAAAGATTAAAAATGCACAGACTGGGGAGATGTCTTGGTGGGTAAAATGATCCCAAATTCCCACAGCCTTCAGAAAGCCAGACATGGCAGCGTAATACCGGTGCGCCTGTGGATAATTGGGAGACAGAATCCCCAAAAGCTTGATGGCCAGCATGCCTGGTGTACCCAGTCATTTAAAGCAACAAGAGACATTGTCTTAAACAAGGGGAAGCTGAAGCACCAACACAAGAGGCAGTCATACACACACCGCATGCACACACAAAAACATGTATGCATGTGAACAAACACATGCACACAATTTTTAAAAATGTTTTAGTTACTTTGTATCCTAGCTGTAGCCCCCTCCCTCACTCCCTCCCAATCCCACCTTCCCTCCCTCGTCTCCTCCCTGCCCCTTTCCAAGTCCACTGATAGGGGAGGTCCACCTCCCCTTCCATCTGACCCTAGCTTATCAGGTCTCTTCAAGACTGGTTGCAATGTCCTCTTCTGTGGCCTAGCAAGGCTGCTCCTCCCTTGGTGGGGGTGGGTCGAAGAGCTCTCCATTAAGTTCATGTCAGAAATAGTCCCTGTTCCCCTTAATAGGGTACCCACTTGGATACTGAGCTACTATGGGCTATATCCAAGCAGGGGCTCTAGGTTATATCCATACATGGTCCTTGGTTGGAGAAACAGTCTCATGAAAGACCCCTGTGCCCTGATATATTTTGTCCTTGTGGATCTCCTGTCCTTTCCAGGTCTTACTAACTCCCCTTGCTTTCATATGATTCCCTGCACTGCTGAAGGTTTGATTATGAGTCTTAATATCTGCTTTGATACACTGCTAGGTAGAGTCTTTCAGAGGCCCTCTGCAGTAGGCTCCTGTCCTGTTACTTGTTTTCTCCTACATCCAATGTCCATCCCATTTATCTTTCTAAGTGAAGATTGATCATCTTACCCCGGGTCCTCTTTCTTGTTTATCTTCTTTAGGTGTATAGAGTTCAGTATATTTATCCTATCTTATAGGTCTATATAAGTGAGTATATACTGTGTGTGTCTTTCTGCTATTGGGATACCTCACTCAGGATGATCTTTTCTAGGTCCCACCATTTGCCTGTAAATTTCATGATTTCCTCGTTTTTCATTGCTAAGTAGTATTCCATTGTGTAAAAGTACCACAATTTCTGTATCCATTCCTCAAATGAGGAACATCTGGGTTGTTTCCAGGTTCTGGCTATTACGATAAAGCTGCTACAAACATGGTTGAGCAAATGTCCTTTTTGTGTACTTGAGCCTCTTTTGGATATATGCCTATGAGTAGTATAGTTGGATCTTGAGGAAGCACTATTCCTAATTGTCTGAGAAAGCACCAGACTGATTTCCAAAGTGGTTGTACTAGTTTACATTCCCACCAGCAGTGGAGGAGGATTCCCCTTTCTCCACATCCTCTCCAGCATGTGTTGTCACTTGAGCTTTTGATCTTAGCCATTCTGATGGGTGTAAGGTGAAATTTCAGGGTCGTTTTGATTTGTATTTCCCTGATGACTAAGGACGTTGAACATTTCTTTGTGTTTTTCTGCCATTCTACAATCCTCTACAGAAAGTTGTCTGTTTAACTCCATGCCCCATTTTTTAACTGGATTACTTGATTTGTTGCTTTTTAACTTCTTTAGTTCTTTATATATTCTGGATATTAGCTCTATGTCAGATGTAGGGTTGGTGAAGATCCTTTCCCAGTCTGTAGACTGTCGTTTTGTTTTGACAACATTGTCTTTTGCTTTACAGAAGCTTTTCAGTTTCATGAGGTCCCATTTATTGATTGTTGCTCTTAGAGCCTGTGCTGTTGGTGTTCTGTTCAGGAAGTAGTCTCCTGACATTACACAATTTAATTACAGTTGTGAAGTAGCGATGAAGTGATTTTGAGATTGGGGTCACCTCATCAGGAACTGTGTTACAGGGTTGCAGCATTAGGAAGGCTGAACGACCTCTAAAGAGTTTCTCCTCTCCCGGATGCTAGCTTTGCTCTCGACTTCCTTTTGCCTTCTAAGCAGCAGGTGCATCTCGTAGGAGAGGAGAGGGCGGTCCAACATTTCTGCATTGTTTCCACTAGTCACTGCCTGTCCGAGTCCTGGACTGCTCTATGCACAACGCAGGTCACTAGTGAGGTTATGCGTGTTCCAAAGGAACCATAATATGGCATTGTGCCAAAGGACCTAAGAAGTCTAGGACTTTGAAACAACAATAAAAACCCTGAATATTCCAATTGAAAGCTTCAGAGAGACATTAAATGAGGAACAACCCTGTAGGCTCGGGTATTTGAAAACTTGGTTCCCAGTTTGTGATGCTGTCTGGGAGATGGCACAGGCTTACTGGAAAAAGTTTGTCATTGGGGGTGGGCTTTGAGAGCCCATAGCTGTACCCTCTTTCTAGTTTGCTCTCTTTGCTTCATGCTTGTGGTTGAAGATGTCAGCTCCCAGCTGCCTGCTCCGGCAGCCAGGCCAGATGCTTGTTGCCATGTCCTCTATACCAGGATGGACTAACTCTTTCTTTTTAAATAAGCCCTATAATGTTTTATTTTAAGATTTGGGCAAGTTGTATTGGAGAATAAGATTTATTATTATTATTATTATTATTGTTATTGTTATTATTATTATTATTATTATTATTAATTCACTTTACATCCTTGTGATAGCCCTACCCTTCCTCCCCTCCCAGTCCCAGCCTCCCTCTCTCCCCGCTCCCCTTTTCCTCAGAAAAGAGGAGCTGCCTCTCCCAGCCACCCCAGCTCATCAAGTTGCAACAGGACTGAATGTGTCCTCTTCCTCTGTGGCCTGGCAAGGCAGTCCTGCCAGGGGAAAGTGACCAAAAAGCTGGCACGTGAGTCCTTGTCCGGTGCAGTTCCCACTTCCCTTACTACAGCAACCCACTCAAAGCCTAAGCTGCCCATCGGCTACATCTTTGCAGGGGTCCTAGGTCCAGTTCATGCATGGCCCCTCAATCTCAGCAAGCCCCTCTGGGCCCGGGTTAGTTGGGTCTGTTGGTCTTCTTGTGGAGCTCCTGTCACTCCAGCTCCTTTTCTCTTTCCTCCCACTTTCCCACAAGACTTTCTATGCATCACCCAATTCTGGCTGTGGGTCTCAGCATCTGTTTTGAGGTGCTGGTAGGTAGAGCCTCTCAGAGGACAACTCTGTCAGGCTCCTGTCTGCAAGCTTAGCAGAGTGTCGTTCATAGTGTCAGGAGTTGGCACTCTCTGATAGGGTAGGTCTTTGGTTGGGCCAGGCATTGGTTGGGCATTCCCTCAATCTCTGCTCTATCTTTCCCCCTGCACATCTGTAGGGAGGGTATATATGGGGTTGAAGTTTTTGTGGGTAGGTTGGTGCTCCCTTCCTTCTGTTAGAAGACGATTCTAGTTAGAGGGTGTCTTCTTCAGTCTCGACAGCCTCTGCTACTAGGGGAAAAAAAAGACTCTTAGCTGCATCTAATCTAAACAACTTTCAAGTCACCCTAAAGTATTCCCTAAAATCATCCCAAAGAAATTAAGAAATGTAATGTAATATTTGCTTTTGTTGTTAAGTTAAACTCAGGATATAAAACAGAATTTCCAATCTGTGTAGGTTAAGGATTTTCCAGAGAGTTCAGGTCAATGACATCTAACATGAAGGGTCCTTCCTTAGAAATACAGAAAAAGGATATATCTAAACAATAAGACCAAGATTTTGTTATAATTGGCAAAACCCCACTTAGAAAAGCATGTGAACAAAATAATGTTTGCCCTCCACGGACATTGACTTTAAAGCTGGAGAACCTTTGGTTTTTTGGTTTTATTGGTTTGGTTTGGTTTTTTGAGACAAGGTTTCTCTGTGTAGCCTTGGCTGTCCTGGACTCACTTTGTAGACCAGGTTGGCCTCAAACTCACAGAGATCCATCGGCCTCTGCCTCCCTGAGTGCTGGGATTGCAAGCGTGTGCCACCACGCCCAGCTGAACTTTTTATTATTCAGCTTAACCCATCATTGAACTTACCAACACACCGTGTCCTCCCATTGCCCCAAAATCCATAGTTGCAAACGCAGATCCACTTCCCTTCTTTTTGCTGGCACGTGGCATGTTCGTGGCACATGGCACAGACATCTATATCTATAAACATGAGTCAGAAATCATGTTTCAGAAACAGGAAGTTAAAGGTGAGCGATGTTTAGTCAGTGTGCATGCATCACAGAGACCCAAACCTTGATTACCAAAATAAAACAGGTCAAATTAAAATCTCATCCATAAGATTCCTCTGTCAATCGCCACTCTTCACTGTTTGTCTTCTCCCCGCTCCTCCAGCTGCACACTCCCAAACCCCAGCTACATCCTTCCAGGCAGAAGGACAACCGCCCTTTCCTAGTAGACCATCTGCTACCTTCTTCCACGCCATGGGCATGATGCTCATCTATGCCCTCCTCTCTGTCTGGTACCCACTCTTGTTCTCACCATGGTCATGATGCTCCCTTCACCTGAAATGCTCATCTATGCCCTGTTCTCTCTCTATCTGGTACCTACTCTTGTTTTCAGGAGCCAGATGCAATGTCTCATTCTCTCTGCTGTCTTCCTCTCTCCTAAGGATAGGTGTACGTATCTTCTAAGCGCCCATAAAACAAGTACACTCCCACAACAATCACGTTAATCTCTCAATGTATTAATTTTGGGACTTACCAATGAACCACACAAGGATGAGGATTATGATATTTGTCCAATATGTTTTTACAGTCTGATCTAGATACTAAACATATTTCTACTGACTGGAAAATAGATCTAAAATGGAGGCTGGAGAGATGGCTCAGAGGTGAAGAGCACTGGCTGCTCTTCCAGAGGACCCATGTTCAATTCCTACCACTCATAAGGTGGTTCACAAGCATCTGAAAGGCCTGTCTCAGGGGATCCAATGCCTCTTCTGGTCATCAGGCCTCCACGAACACTATACACGCTTGGTGTACAGACATACATGCAGGCAAAACACACATACATGTAAAAGAAATCCAAAACGTGACTTGCTACAGCTCTAAAAGCAAACGCAGGAGAGAGGAACACATCTGCCTACTACTCTCTCTCTTTCCCTTTAGGAAAAAAGTATGTTTAAAATATCTGAGAGATAACCATTTGAGTCCCAACAGGATGGCCAGACCCCAATTATTTAGACAAACAACAGAAATATTTGAGGCTAAAATTCTTAAAACCTCTAAATTTATCAAATGGTGATATGTGACCTAAGATCAAACAAGAATTTCTACTCAAGGCTATGAAGAATATTGAGTTTCACGCCCACGTCTCTGTAATTTCAGGCGTGGTCTAGTAAAGAGAATGTTCCAGCATAGAATTTCATCCTAGTCTTGGCCTCATCCTTACCCAGATAACACAACCTAGCCCTCAGGGTGCTCCAGGCATGACACTAACAGAAACTGGGAGACTCCTAAATACTCATAATCATGTTTCTTGATTTTTTTTTTTTTTAACTAACAAAAGGCAACATATTTGTGGCCATCCTGGGCTATATGAAATTCTATTAAACAAATGTCAGAAAATAAATACAAATAAAACCAAAGATAACATAGAAACAAACACAAACCACAATGGTTACTGATGCCAAATTAACCACAGAATATCTATAAATATCTCATGACCAAAGAGAATGAAAAATAAAATAAAATACAAATTCTAGAGATATATTATCTAACCATCATGTAATAACAAAATAAAACTTCAAAGAAAAACCTATGTGTAGTTTCCTCACATTCTCTAGACAAAGATAATGAATGTTCGCTTGATGACAGTTATAAAAACTTACTGCAGAAAATTTGAGTTTGTTTTTGTATTTTTAAAAAGTAAAAGGTTTTTTTTTTTGTATTTTTAATCTTTACTTAGGCTAGAAGTAGACAGACATGGTGAGATACTGGCATTCATGACACTGGGTAGTGTCAGCAAGCTGCAGTTCCTAGGTGGCACAGGAGAACCAGCCGCTGGTGGTCTTTGATACATCTTATTCAAAATGATGGAACGCTTTGCACATCTTTCTTGTGTAGGAGCCACACTCATCTCTGTATTGTTCCAATAAGTGCTGCCAAGCCAAGCACAGAGTAAAGGTTTTTAAAAATGAAGCAGTCACAGATTTTATTGAAATAAATTTGAGTAAGAAAAAAAGAGAATAGGGGTTTAAGAATTTTAAAGGAGGACCTCCCCTATCAGCAGACTAGGGGAGGGCATAGGGGGAGAAGAAGAAGGGAGGGTGGGACTGGGAGGGGACAAGGGAGTTGGGATACAAAGTGAATAAATTGTAATAAATAAAAAATAAAATGAAATTTAAAAAAAAGAATTTTAAAAGATTATTTTTAAGGACAAAAGAAAAATTTCTGGGAAACACTGAGAGGATTTCAAATACTTCCAACCTCCTTTCACCTCAAAAATAAAACTGTGAAATTAGAAAGGTATAAGTTTTTCTGTATGAGTGGGGGGGTTGGATGTACGTGTGTGTGTGTGTGTGTGTGTGTGTGTGTGTGTGTGTGTGTGCCTGTATTTGAAGGCTGGAGGACAAGCTTGGCACGTTCCTCACAGGCATTGTCCGCAGGTTTTGTTTTGTTGTTTTGTTTTTGCACACAGGTTGGCTGACTACAGAGCCCCAAGGCATCCCCACTCCCCAGCCCCTAAAAGCATAAATCTTAAAATAGAGGATGATGATGAGCACAGACAAGGAGGTCAGCAGTGCTTCAGATGGGAAAGAAACCAACACATAGCCAGTGCTTTGTGGAGAGGAAGAAACAAGGAGCTCCTGGGCACCTAGAGAGACAGTGTAAGAGGCAGGAGTGAAACGTTCAAGGACCCGCTTGAGCTGGTGCAGTGCTTTGCCTTTCTTTTTGACGGTGCTTGGAATGGAAGCCAGGCCTCCTGAAAGCTAATCCCACGCTGTGCCACCAAGCCCACCCCCAGGCACTGAGTGCACATTTCTGTAAGGAGCAATGGCCCAAATCCTCTCAGAGATGCTGATGAGTTTACTTAAAAAAAAAAAAATCTAGAAAGACTCCAGATCAGAGAGGTATATAGGCAGAGCAGGAGAAAGAATCCCTCACATCCATTTTAATAAATTAACACTTTAACACCGGCACTGTAAAACAAGGCAAGCTCCCTTTGCAGTTCCTAATGCCACTGTTATGAGACGAGACATGCCTCCGTCAGACCTTGTTATATCGATAGTTATGTTACCCATTCAATATGAAAGGGGAGAGAAATGAGGGGAAAAAACAAGGGCTGGAGAACTGGCTCAGCAATTAAGGACACTTTCCGTTCTTGCAGAGGATGGGGGTTTCGATCCCGGCACCCATATCAGGCAGCTCAATTGGTAGAGTCCTTGCCTGGCATGCATGAAGCCCTGTGTTTGATTTCCAGCGTCACTTAAAACTAAGGGTTCAGGTTGCAGTCCTCAGGAGGGGAGGCAGGAGGATCCAGCATTTAAGGTCATAGAGTTCAAAGCCAGCCTGTGCTACAGGAGACCATGTATCAAAAAGAGGGTGGAGCATCTGTATGAGTGTATTCTAAAGCATTATCAAATGAAGAGCTCTACCACACAAACATGTCCGTGTCCATATATCTCATTATTTCTATAACAGCTGTGTAAGCTGCAATGTGGGTGTTTAGCACAGCGGTTATGAACTGGGGGACACAGTTCCTTCGCCATTGCTAGCTGGGTTAGCCTTGATAATCTCTATCCATCTGTTTCCCATAAGTCTGTAAAATGAAGATATCGACCATCTCATGATTTCTGTGATAACAGAGTAAATGAGTTAGTATGTGGAAAGCAATCAGAACACGCCCATTCAACACTGTAATAAACGTATAACTTCTAATAACAGCAAGCAGCACTGATGGTTAGCCGGTCAGCAACCAGTTATACTAATGGGAAGAGCAATAGATGTGTGCTTGATGCAGAACTCCAAACCAAGCCCATTGTGTGGACATATGCCTACCTACTGTTAGGCCCTGCAAACCAGAATATCTAAAGCTATGTGTTCATTCCCTGCAGCCCTCCCTCATTCCTGGGACCATTGGCCATGGGAACAAGAGAGCAGAGGCAACAAACTGGGGATTCAGTGGCAGTGAGCACTAACAGAAATAACCTTCTGGGACCAGCTGTAGGGAGGCAGTTCAATTTTGTTTGGGGTGAAGGAAGGTTATATAGAACTTTGGGGAGGGGGGTTGGAATATCCTGGGTGGGCAAACGTCATTGGCTGAAGGGCAAAGACTGAGATACCTCATTAGCATAGGGAGGCATTCCAGGAATCCCAGGTACCTGCTGAACAGGTTTTATCAGGAGAAAGGGAGTTAGGTCTGCAATTTCCCGAAGGCCTACATGACATTCCTCCTGTAGGGAGGGGGACTCAGGCTCCTCAGATCAGGCAGAGAAGAGGGAGTCCTACTGACAAAGAAGGTCCTTCCTTTCACCAAGCTCGGAGTTTTCTGGTTGTGAAGAACTGCAACCTTGGTAGTGGGGTCCAAGAACTCCCTGCCTCCCCGTATTCTTCCTCCCTTCTGAGCACAGCTTGACTGGGAAGTTCATCTTCGGTGCCTTCTCAGCTTCCTCATTCTTTCCTGCCCTCCAAGAAAATCCATAGGCCCCAGCAAACCCTCTCACTCTTTAATACACCAGCTGTCTTAGTTAGGATGTCTGTCGTTAAGATAAAATATCATGACCAAAAGCAACTGGGCAAGGATTTATTACATTTAACAGTTTGTGATTCATGTCAGGACAGGAACACAAGGCAGGAACTGAAACGGAAGCCATGGAGGAATGTTGCTTACTGGCTCATAACTTGGTCAACCTATTCTCTAACACCATTTGGGACCACCTGCCCAGGAATGGCACAGCCCACAGTGCTGTGTGCCTCCTACATCAATCATTAATCAAGAAAATATCCCATGGACTTGCCTACAGGAGGCATTTTCTCAGTTAAGATTCTTATCTTCCCAGATATGTCTAGGTTTGTGTCAAGTTGACAAAAACCAAACAGCACAGCAGCTCCTTAAACAGACCTGTGATGAGCCTACTGGAAGATGAAGAGACGCTCTTCACACCAAAGGCAGAAGGGAGTTTGTGGGCCTTGAGCATA